AGAGAATTAAATTAGTTATTTACTTATCAGAGCAAGCCATGAATGTGGCATATAGTGCAATTTGTGTGATCAAACTAGGCCCTTAAAATATACACACATGAGATCATCCATGAGACAAGACACAGGCAGCGGAGTGTTTGATAAATTCGAACTCACCAACATTGTACTGATAACACAGGTAAGAGATGCATAATGCACTGCTGCTTTTTCTATCAGCCTGATCAGCCTCATCCGCCTCTTTCTGCCATTTAGTCTAATATCAAAGTCGAGGACATCTCAGTAGTTTATTGAGGTAATAAAGTTCACATACCAGAGAGAGCGGAGCGATAAGTAGAGCAGATAAGGCTATGTTCTCTCAGGATTTATTTCAGTGATGCAAATACACATGAAGCTGGGATATGGTGTAAGTGGTGCTGAGTGATTTATAAAGTAATGAGTGACTCCTGTTAAAAGAAAACTGAAGGAAGAAAGCTGAAGAATGTTCTGTCCTATTATGTCAGAAGATAAAAAGCTTTCTTCTCCTGGTATTTAACCAGTTATCAAAGGTTAAAAACAAAAATGTTCAGTAAAAGTATAACCTGCTTGTAAAGTACTCTTTAGCAATTGTGTGTAATTGTCAAAAGCATTTTTTCCCTCTGTGACTAATGAGTACCTTTCCATGCAATAAATGTCAGCCTCCAAATTACAACTTTGGTGGCAGACTTTATTATTCACCTGTGTCAGTGTGGAGGGACCAAGAATAAAACTGAACTACGAAGCCATGACTCATTTATAATATTCACCGTCTTCATTCTTTAGGTGGGAATGTCCACATGCTCTTTTTCCTGTGATCATATTTTGATTAATTGTTAAAATTCTGCATGAACTGCTGATTATGAATCGGAACGGGGCCATGGGTAAAGACATAAAGAGTCTCCTCTTCATATTTCTTTCAGCCGGAGTGACCAAGACATACCGCCTGTCCTATAAGACAAAAAAATCAAATAGATGTGCAGTCTTTTGCTATTCTATTTTCTTTTTTGCTTTGTTGTACAGTGCTTTATTCACAGCATTCTGTAGATATCTGTATACTTTGATTAAATATCTTTTATACAGCTAGTTTTATGTTTGTGTGGTGCTAATTTCATGTCATTTGACACTGTGATGGACTTAAAATCTAAGCTTCTCACTCCCTTTTCATGTCTGTGTGATATAATTGATAAGATGTGTAATTTGATATCAGGCCACACAATATTCTGATGTGATGTTCTGAGACAGGAACAATACAGGGTCACGCAGGTGACGGAAACTGAAAAATGCAACGCGTCGGTGCGTGAGCGCTGACCTCATCACTCCATTTGAGGAAGCATCAAGATCACCAAATGAGGGGTCGGGCGATAATGAGTTTCTGCTTAGGGGAAGATTGTCTGAGAGCCTCCATATGGGTTGGAGAGTAGAGCTTTGAAATTTACATCAAACTAAATGAGTGATGGTGGAAGCTACTGTTGCACCCCCTCTGCATCAGAGTGGATGGGAGAAAACTGACAACTGAAGCACAACACAAAAATAAAAAGGATGTCGTGGCAGCAACCGACACAGGTTCACTGTGAGCTCCTATGGTTTCTTCTTAAGCCCTTAATTTCCTGCTCTACTGTTTGCTAGTACACATTTTTCAGGGACTATGTTGTATTTTACACATTATTTGTATAGCCATCATGAACACCCAACAAGTTTGTCCCATGAAAACAGTTTATGTAATTGTCTTAATTTTTCAAATTTTCTTTCTGCAGAGCATCACCACAAAACAATGCTGATTTTATTTAAATTTTTAAAAGTAATGATCACATTTCAAAAGATGTATTATCAGTGCACCTGTAGCTATTTAATGGGAAAGCGCTGGGCTCCAGGTCAGAATCAGTTAAACTCAGGTGTTGAACATGTGTTGTGACAAACAGATACTCCACAGAGTCAGCATGGACATACCATCAAGTTAATGTAAACTATCAAAAGATTTTGATCTACCACAGTAGGCAGTGACCCTGAAAACCGATCCAATTCTATTTTCAAAACTGTAATATTAATAGAATCCTGTGAATAAGTGTGCTATATTCAACACATCTATACAGCACATTAACGAGAAAATACGAACAAAATAAAACACGTTTAAGGACAAAATATTCTTGTTTTTGTGGACGCCCTGATAACCCTGCAACATTTCAGTTGTGTAATTTTTTCGTGAATCTTAAAAGCATCATCTGCAGCAGCATTCCTGCACCACCATAGATAAAGCTATCCTGAGCATCAGATGGGTAATCTTTGACTGTACAGCTGCACAAGTAGTCGGAATTTCAGATTATTTTTACAAATGCAGTTGGCTTGATGGAGTGATGGTCGGGACACATGTCATAAAGCCACCATCTTTGGCTCTTTAAAAGCCTTTCCACTCAGTTTTAAGAATATGCATGAATTTGCTTTTTTTTTTTCACTGAGCAAATGTTATGTGTGTTCATCCTAATTTGAAATGGGAAGTAAAGCCATGAATATCTGTTACGGATCTGTTGGCTATAGAAAACCCCCCAGAGCATTGGTTGTGGATACGAGGTGCTAAATCATCAGACCAAAGCTGGATTGCTTTTCCATTGTAACTATTTGCAAAGAGATCGAAATCTGACCCTTGGTTACACAAGATCAGTCTCCAGGTATATTGCAAGAAGCCAACAAAAGGGCCTCCTGTTTAGCAAGAGAGTAAGAATTAGGTTTTGCTTTTGAAGCCTTTTTTATGTTGTTCTGCACACCCAGTGAAATATATCTATCTCTCAGCCCTCACCTTCCACCTCCGGCTCTAACCATCACCTCCTGCACTGCATCCTGTCAACCTGTCACTTTACTCAGATTGTCAGCATGCGGAAAGCAGCCACTTTGCTTTATAACAAATCCTAATCTATCTTGCACTTCTGATAAATCATCCGGCAAACTGACATAAACACTGTTTGGTTGTGTTGTCACTGATATAAAGTAATTTAAAAGGTTGTACCAGCAATGGCAACAGCCACGGGCACACTAAGTCTTCAGAGCAGCCTGTCTCATTAATAATACACAAAATGTCAGTGTGTTGACTGTGTCAAAGGTGTATCTGGTGCACCTTGCACTTGATTGTTGAGCTTCCTGTGACTGATGTTGTGTTGTTCATTTTATGTATCACAGCACACGTGTTTTTCACGCTTAAGGATGGAAAGACCTTGTGGACCAGGCATGCAGCTCAATGGATAAGTATCTAGAGATGTCACCCTTCACGGATGTTAATTATTCACTGAATGAGTAAATAAGGTTGTACCATATTAACATATCATATTAAAATATTTTGAATTGTGAAGACAAGATTCACCACAGCCAAATGGATCTCATGTGGAAAATGTGTTCGTCTGATGACCCTGCATTTGTGTGACCGAGAGGTATTGATTGGAATTTTAAGTTTTCCAAACATCTAATCTAATCTTTAGTTTTTGCAACACCACCATTGATTGATTCCTGGACCAAAACTCACTTAGAAGTACTTTATCAAACATATTTTTTCCTACAGGGAAATAAGTTAATGTATTTGCTGCCTTCAAGCTGATTCATTAAAACTTGAAATTGCATTAATGCAACTTGAACATTACTTACGCATGCAGAGTTTGCTCTGAATAATGCTGTATTGGCAGCTTTAATGTGCAAGTTCCCCTCAACAGTAACTCTTCATCTGTAACTCTAAATTTTTATTTGTTGTTTTTGTTGTTTCTCGGGGACTCTATGGTGAGAGTTCACAATTAATGTCTGAGCCAGCCTATGGTAAACTATCACATAGTGCCACCATGTGGTTTCACACAGTTTCTCTCATGTGCATCTAGCACAAGTGTGATCCTGGATGTTCATATGTAGCAGTTGTTTTTCTATAATCTCCTGATAATAAAGGAAATCTGGAATTGCAAAGTGGTTTGGAGTGTACATGATTGCAATTAGTGATAAAGACCTTTACAGAGTAGCTTTTTAGAATGTCTTATTTGTACTTTAGTGCTTACAGGTTGTGCAGTATGCTTACTCTTTCCTTTGACTTCTATTATTTTTCCCCCTTCCAACCTCCACTTACTGGTAGAGGATGATGCCCTCATGAACACATACATTTAAAAGTCCCAATGCTCATTCAGGTGCTGTTAAGGTGGACTGTACCAAATTGCTTTTTGAAATGGGGGAGGGAGCATTAAGTTTTCTCTGTATAATTTACTAACTATTGGATTAAGAAAATGCATTCCTCTCATATAATGTGGGTTGTATGGTAATTATTATTTTAATGCTGTTTTTTTTATCAAACAAACTGAGTGATATAATTATTTTCCTATGTAGATTTCACCATTCAATATGAACAATATGGTTTGACCAGGAAGTATTAACAGTTTTTTAAAAGGCCCTTTATTCCATTTGATCCCTCAAACCTCAGAGCCCAACTGGTTCACATCATGATCATTATTTAACCCATGTGGAGAGACAATGTATCTGTATATATACAAACTCAAGGGCATAAAAATGTAAAGCACAGCTTGAATACCATAATAGGATCAGCCGCACCCCCCATAGACCGACTCACATCAGCCGTCATTACCACTAGCTTAGAGCAGGATTACTGTTCCTGTAGCTGATGTTTATTCTCTCCATGTGCTGCTAGTGATGTGGGTGTTTAGCTGATGCCTGTCACATGCATTAGCTGCTCCAGCAAAATAAAGACTCCATAACCCCCTTTCTCTGTCTTAGTTGCTTGATTATTTTGTCAGCTGATGCATTTTCTTTCTTTGTTAAATGTCAATAAGATTAGGACTTTTTTCCCGCTCCCTATCCTATAAAAGCAATGATCAGGAAGCACAGTTTAGAGGAGATCCTCCATGAAATCAGACGTGTTCCACAATACCACAATAATTCATTTTTTATATCCCTGCACACTTGTTTCATTTTTATGTTTTCATCCTGTATCGTCTTACTTTTACTCATCCCGGCATCATCGTTGCCATTTGTCTTGCTCCCTACCTTTTCTCACTCGCTGTGAATCCTCTTAGAGGTGGATTATTGGACTAAGATGTCCACACAGAGAAGGAAAGAGATACAGAGTGAGAGAAAGCCACAGGAGGAGATAAAGATCTAGGAGAATAAGAAAATGGAGAGAACCCCTTGGCTCATGGCGAGCCAGAATTGGGGTAGAAGATGGTGTGTTGCTGGGGTGAGTACAGCACTTTTTTTTTTACACGTGTGACATGATCACACAAAAATAATTTATTCCCTTGGAAGGCAAAAAAGTGGAGTCTATTTTGATATGAAAGATTTCCAAAATGTAAAGAAGGATGAAAATGTTGACACAAGTCCTCAGTTTGGCTTTAAATTCATCTGATGACGAACAATTTTTACATCTTACTAGTTAAAGAGAAGCAAAAGAAAGAAGTGTGACTGTCATTGTGTGCCATAGAGAGGACTTGACTTTATGTACATTTAAGTGTTTCAGTTGCTTCCTGAATCACAGAGTAGCTTGTTTTATGACGTTTATTCCGCAGTTTTCCCTCCGTTCTTCTCAGGTAGAGCCAGCAGAGCCTCACATGGTGAAGCACATGCTCCTGTGTCCCACGCCCGCCCTCACTGACAAGGCAGGGACAGACTAACCCCATGACAGCAATGGCTTTCCTGACCTCAACTCACCCCACCAGCTGGAACGTGTGCTCTGCTCTCTATATCTTCATCTTGTTGCTCCCAGAGGCTAAAGCAGCCACTCTGGATGATTCCACACCACAAAACGGTGGAGGCTCACAATGTGGGGAGTACTCGAACCAGGTGAAGATTGCTGCTGTTTTTCAGGGATTATTCAGCTTTATGGGGGAATGTCAGTGTTATCCCAAGACAGAAACAGTGTTTCACTTCCAAGCACATTTGTGGTGTCGCAATTTTTTAAAACATCATCTTAAGTCCTGACAAAAATCCCACATTAAAAGAAGTAGACCAGTTTAGTAGACCAATTAGTGTTCAATTTTAGGTAGGTTTTATGAGAGATGGCAATCTGTCTGGTCCAATTCATCGATCCGATTGGTTAATATTTTCTGGAGATTTTGGTTACCTGTTGCTTTGTCCACTTGCCCACTAAGTATTTAATTGCAAACTTAACAATTTTTGTTTCACTGGCTGCTTTGTGAAATAAATCCCCTGATAGTTTAGGTGATCAGGACATCAGTCTTATTTTTTTTTAAATAGAAAATGGTTGGAGTCTTTTGTCTTTTATGTTTTGGGATGTATTTTAGTAACATAGAGAATTTTGCTCCTTGACTCCTCTTGGTGTTGAGGGATAAAACAGTGCTCTTATAACTACAACTCTCTGAGTGAGCTGGCAAATGTAAAACCATAAACCTTAATTTTTAATAGTATTTAGAATACTTGGAGAAATTCAACTTTGAAAATGTTTTGTTCTGTCTGTGCGATAAAGCTCAGATGTGATTTTGATTTAATTTGAATGGTGAGGGAAAGGCAAATAATGATCTGCTGTGAGGAAAAAGGGCCCTGCAATCCAATAAATGATTAGTTTAGAATAACTATGATATGTCATTGAGATTATTGATGGTTGTGCCGATTATTGAGGGTTTCTTTTGACCAAATTTTCTCAACAGCTGATGGAGAATGGGATGTGTCGGCTTGTCGCCACTCTGCCTCAGCTGGATGAAAGGAGATGCCCGGACATGTTTCGCTGCACGGATGAGGTTTCCTATTGGCTGCATGAGAATGAGGAGAGAAAAGATCAGATTGTGGCGCTGAAGGAAACCATCTCTGAGCTGCAGGAGGAGCTGAGGAATCACCGACACCGCATCAAAGTACTCGAGATGCAGGTGACTAAGTAGACCTGGATCAGCTATCAGCAGCAATCCTGTCAACTGCTTTGAGCATTTGCTTCAGTCTGCCCGATGACTCATCAGCTGCTGTGACTCTGTTTTTCCCATTTCAGACCAGTCATCTTAACACAATCCAGTTTTTTACTCATTTGGAAAACATCTAACTGCATGTGCTTTTGCACACTTTTTAAATTTGAGTTTAATTTTAGTTTTCCTTACATTCAGGAATTTAGGTTGAGTCACACTTTAGATCGTGAATAAATATTTAATCAAAGAACCATTGACCTTAATTTGAAGTCTAAATTTAACTTTAACTATATCATACACTCCTGCTACTTAGTACAGGAAAGCCACAGCATTACCACAAACTGCTCTGCACTCTAATGTGGTGCTTGGTCATCAAGCTGGCTTTCTTCCCGGCATGTCCTTGACCTCAGTTACTAACAGGATTACCTTCTACTCCTCCACGTGTTGGCTCATACCTCTCAGGTGGTGAGCTTATACAGAAAGAGACTCATAGCTGGAGTAGTGAGTGGTGACAAGCGGATGGTAGAAGAGACTTGTGTGTTGTGCAGAAGCACAGAGCAGGGGAAAGGGCTCCAGATTTGTGGTAAAGATAGTAAGCATCATCCTGTCTGTACAAGTAAGGAAGACACCAGATGATGTCCGGCATTAAGTTTTAGAATAAGCTGACTTATCCTTTTTGGCCTGAGAGCATCAATATGGTTCGAGCTTGAGTTTTAGTTGAGAAAGCAGGTCACGGGAAATAACTGGGTAGTCATTTCAAATTATTATTGGGTTTTTATTTAATTCCAAGTGATATAAATTCTGAGATTTTTTCAAATTGTTATGGATCGCATCTTCTATGATGCTGTTTTAGAAGAAAATATCCAAAGTTCATATCAGAGTTACTGCTGGTGGTGGAAATCAGTCTTTCTGTGACTGATCATTTGGGATGGTTACATTGTGACAGATTATTGAGTTAACATTTTCCCTTTCTCCCCTTCCATCTCTCCATCGAAAGTATATAACAAATATTGCTACGGTTTCTCTTTATTAGAGTGAAGAGAAAATCCACCTAAACATCTCACTGGAGCAGCGTTTCCATGAGCTGGAGGTCCACTATGCTGAGGCCACCTCCCTGCTGCATCTGCAGGGGACTCTGATCCTTGACCTGCAGGTATTCCACCTTTCCTCCTAACTGCTATTTTGGGAAAAATTATCCTACTGTTTTTTTGTTTTGTTTTTTCCATGGGAGCTGCACTGTATCTTTGAATTGTTCAACAAGCCGTTTCTTTGTCCAGAATCAACTGCACAATCTGACACTCCTTGTGGATACAGTGAAAAGAAGCCCTGGCTGTTCGATCAACACAGTCCGCCCCAATCCTCTTCTAAATACTCAGGAATCTATGCACCCAGGTACGTGCTCCTATCACGCCACGCCAGCAGATGGAGCTAAACACCCCCTGTTCGCTCGAAATCTTACATCCCATGTTGCTTTTACAGATACCCACTATGTTGGTAACTGTCCCATTGACTGTGCTTCTATCTACTACAATGGAATAAGGAGGTCAGGCCTCTACACTGTGGTGCCAGCACAAGCAGGCTTGCCTGTCGAGGTTTACTGTGATATGGACACAGATGGTGAGTATGAGTTATCTGCAAGTGCTGTGCTGGTATTAAAGATAATACACTGAATACTTTGTATTCACAAGTTCGTTCTATATAAACTGTGATTAATGTTTTTGGGTGGTCATTCTAAGTCACTCTGGCAATGAATGGTCTTTGAGATACATACACTCAGTTTGTCCCAATCAAGAGAGGGACACAGCGTCTTCTTTTTTGACTCAGGTGGTGGCTGGACTGTGATCCAGCGCCGAGTCGACGGCTCTGTGAGCTTTGACCGCAGCTGGAGAGATTACAGGGATGGATTTGGTGACTTGCACTCAGAGTTCTGGCTGGGTAACAACCACATACATGACCTGAGTATCCAGGGAGACTACAGCCTCCGTATCGACCTGGAGGATTGGAGCATCCAGCACAAGCATGCCCTCTACCAGAGCTTCAGGTTGGTTTTTGTCCGTGAAAGCAGCCGACAAACGCTGCAGACCTCCAGTCTCTCATGTTTGCTCCATAACCGTTCATGCGTATGCAGTGTGGAGGATGAGGAGCATCAGTACCGGCTTCACGTGTCCGGCTTCAGTGGAACTGTGCAGGACTCCTTCAGCTGGTACCATGACAAGCAGGGCTTCAGTACACCAGACAGTGGCAACATCTGTGCCGAGATCTCACACGGTGGCTGGTGGTACAATCAGTGTTTCTATGCCAACCTTAATGGAGTCTACTACAGGGTAAGGAGACAGATTACCCTTTTTCACGGTGCACTTTAAGGACACAGGTATTACCTTTTTTCTTTATTTTGCAGGGAGGTCATTACACACCAAAAGGGCGAGGCCCGTTGGGTCCCGATGGAATCGTTTGGTACTCCTGGAAAGACTCGGACTATTACTCCATGCGCAAAGTCAGCATGATGATCCGACCACGCAATTTCCAAAGCCGTCTGTCACCGTGAGCTCGTGTCAACACGTCAGCCGGGTGGACACGGGCCGTAGCATCCCCTACAGCTGTGAGGACGACACCGTGCGGAAACACAAGCGTCATGGTGCTGCTGATCAAAAGCAAAAATCGTTTGTCGGTCTGTGGCATTTTTTTTTTTTTAAAACAATGCACATCTGCAAATGGATTCATGATCAGGAATATATTTTTGAAGACTCAAACAAGGTTTTTCTTTTCCTCAATCAGGGGAAGTCAATGCTTCATTTTATACTCCACTTTTGTACGTTAGGTTGATATTTCATCACTTTTTGCAGTCCGGCCAAGAGCAGGTACTTTCAAGAAGTTCCGAGAGAGTAAAGTTGTTCAGTTTGTGTGAGCTCCAAAGAGAAGGTTCCTGCCCCTGCAGAGCACCTCGGACTCTTGTGAATACATGGCTCATGTGTTAATGCATTTTTATGAATACTCTTTCATCAGTTAAATTTTTTCTGAAGTTTATTGAGTAATTAATTAAACTAAGTGTGTAAGAATAAAAGAGGGTTGCAGAAAGTGTTTTAAGACTATTAAAAAGCATTGAAATTGGGAAACATGCTCTGGTCTTAATTCAGTAACACTTTGAAGTTCTTTTTTTTTATTTTTAAAAACTGAATGATCCCAAATTTAACTCGAGAATATCAGTGCCAGGTATCCTGATTTGACTGAAGCTTGAAGCAGATCGCAGAAGATAGATTAACACCAGGTAACAAATATGCAACTTACAGCTAAATACTGAGTAAACCAACAGATATAACTGAAGTTATCTAAATTAATTCAACCACAAAGAATATCAAATATTCAATGAGAAATTAATTAGACAAACGTATTCATGAATGCAAACACCCACAGTAAAATTAAAATATTATGTGATGTTTAAGGACCAAACCAATTCTTTACAACATGCTGTACAATCATTAAATGTAGAAAAAAAAAGACTAAAAAGTTCACCTCCGTGCACCACACATGCTGTGAGGCCGTTTCATCTCCATTAAGAGTGACTTACCTTCAACGGGCTTTAAAGGGGATGCTGAATACTTTCGGTATTGGCAGGTTTGTGCAAACAGAGGAGACACGTGTTTACCAAAAGTAACTTCTGCGTGCTAATTTGAAACTAATTTCAAACTCTCATAAGATTGTATTCCATAACATTTTTTAAAAATGTATTTCTAAACAACTGGTAAACTGGTTTTATTTGCTCCAGTGAAGCGATAAACACACAACAGTACGTGTCCTAAAATAATCATTTCACTTTGACAAGGGCTCCTCGCAAAAGCTCTCTGTGGCCTGCACGTCCAGCTGCACCTGATGGCAGCGACAGCAGAGTGCGGGCTAAAAGGGCTCTTTCACTTCCCCCACAAGAAGGCTGCATAACATGTTCTCTTCACACAATCTGCCGACTCATTTCCATTCCCCCCCATGTCTACACAAGAATCTGCTGAAGCGAATAAGGGCCATAGTGTCCGACAATCAGCGCTGCACACCATCAAGAGAACAACATCAGGATTCATTCACACACAAACCTCTCAGTGAGTACAAATCATTGTTTAATAAATCAAACAAATTTTGCTCTTCTTTCAGCGACACCATGTAGCAAATACTTCTATACATAAAACATCATCTTAATGACAAGGGCGCCTGACACAGAGTGACATAGAGTATACATATATATATCATATATATATATATATATATCGAGGAAAGAAGAAAAGAGTGAACCAGAATAGAGACTGATTGAAAACTGAGCAAAGAAAACAAAAAAAACATCAAATAATGCATTACTTCCATGACTGTCAACTCTCCTGCTGTTAAGCCTTCATTTCAAACAACAAAATCGGATTAAACAAGGAAAACAAATATGCCCCAGGGGAACCAGCAGAGCTGAGTTTTTAACTCCAACCTGGGTTCTTGCTCTCTTTTTCCACATTTGTCTGGTGACATGTAAACTGCAGTGTCAGAGTATGTGCACATGGGGGGGGGGGCGTTGACTAATTTAAACATTTCTGTTTCAAAAGGCACAAGAGATGTGAGTATGTCAGGAAGAAGGTGGAGCTTCCTGTTAGCTTTTGAGGAAGTGCAGGATGAAAAGGGCCAAGACACTGCCAGCAGTGGACATGCAGGGAGCACACACTCTGCTTCTGTCTGCTTAAAGGCAAAGACGAATGCTTCTAAAGTTCTATACACAGCGGTGGTGAATGCAAACAGTGTTTACCAAGGCAAAAGGGTGCTTTTGGAAAGGAAATACCCGGTTATCCCCTCTGACAAAGCGGACAGCGCCTTTGGTGTTTGATGTCTGCATGTATATATTTCAGTCTGCAGATATCATTGTTGCCCAATTTGCAGATACTTTAGAAACTTAAATGGAAGATTGGAAAAACAGTAAAGTATTGCTTTAAAAGATTCCGATATAACATTTGCACACAAAGTTGTATAAAACTGTGTCCCACAGAGACTAACATGGCAGTTTAACTCAATGCAATGAAACAGTTCATGGCTGCAACAAGGTTGCACCCAGTAGGTTTACCTCTTACTTACTTCTTTACTGTGTTACAAGCTGCTGATCTGAAAGGAAAAAGTGTATGTAAATCAAGTATTTGCCATCTTTGCTGCTCTTAAAAACCTGTGTCAGCGACTTCTCTGCTCTTGAACTCATTAACTGTGCATAAACCTCAGTGAGCAGTAGTGAAAAGTAACATCCTGAGGTGGGACTGTTGGCATGGGCAGTAAAAAAATAAAAAAATAAATCACATGTGGTCAGAGTAAGAGGAATAAAGAGGGGGAATTAGATTTAAAGGGTGAGTAGACAATGGATCAGAAACTAAAACATTTGAAGATGTTGCACTGGTGTAATTTCTCATCGGGTGGCAGGAGACTGATTTCACATTGTGGTGAACTGACTGTGTGCTTGTCTCAGCTTGGCAGCAATCTGGGGGGGAGAGAGAAAAAGTTAGTTTGTAAAAAAAACAGAGAAAGGATAATGTGATGCTTTTTGTATCTTCAGTAGTACTGTGCAACAGCAGGTTACAACTAAATGAAAAAGCTGTTACAGAGTCAAATTTACTGAGATAAATGGGCTATAAAAACGTCATTACCGTCTCATAAAACTTGACTTGCTCCTCCAGGTACAACTGCATGACCCTGTTGTAGTCATAGATACGGTTGCTATGGAAGTGGTTCATCTCAGCTGCACGATAAAGAAGGGGAAACCAGGACATCAGCCAGCAGGAACTAATGAACTGTACAATTTCAATCTTTTTTTCTAAGGACTATGTAGTACCTTGTAATGCATAAGACATGGTGCTGACGCGCTTAGCCATGGTGACTTTGTCCTGAGGAGTAATTTTATTGGTGGCTACCAGCTTATCAGCTTCCTTCACCTTGTCTATGCCTGCCTGTAATCAAATTAAGGAAACAATAAAGGAGTTTTCAGATCAATAAGCCAATACTTGAGCACGATTACTTTATTTAGTCTCTTGATTGTGTTAAAAACATCAGTGTCACATCAAAGCAAGGAGAGCAGAACCATGGTGTCTTTTAAACCATTATGGGAACAAATTGATGTACAATTGTGTACAAATGTGAAGTTAGTTTAAGTTAAATCAGCGACTCTGAGCTAAATTCAAAGATCATTTTCAGCCGTTCAGACCACGGTACATTATTAAATTGTTCATACTACTGAAATGCCAAGAATAAATGCTCCCAGTCTGAGTATTTCCTCAGCAGTCTTTCAATAATGTTTTTCAATCAGTCTGGGAACTGCTACCATTCAAATTGTCATGTGAAAAACTTTTGTATTGGTGGTATTTTTCACATTTTCTAAGCACGGGAAAAGACGTACCTTATGGACTCCAATGGTGTCTGGGAAGCATCCGAGAAGACCCTTATATTCATTGTTGGTTTCCATGAGGAAGTGGAGATCTTTTCTTGGCTGGAAATTAATCAAATAATCAGAAACTAGAGCAGACAAATGGACAGAGGAAAAGGTGAGATATGCTAGCACCTAAAATTGGAACAAAAATGCCACAGTTAACCTGAGAACAGGAAATATTGCAGGGACCTGATAAGGGAGAACACAGGGGAATTTTACGATCATGGATTCAAAGGAGAGTTCTGTAGGTTGAGACAATTCCTGGATTTTAAACAGGAATGCAAATGACAAACAGATAAAAAATAAAACCACATTTAGCCTATTTAGGCCTTTGTGTCCTGAGTTGAATCCATGTCCAGACATTATCTGTGTCCAACACTAAATTGTATAACAGGTGTCACTATTCTACAGCCAATAATCCTAAGGGAGCACTGACAAATGTTGTTTGGAACAGCATATGCTTACCAGATGAATCCTCTCTCTGGAAGATGCTAGGACATCAAAAAGCCAAGAATCTACTTTATTATAGAAAAAAGGAAAACATAAACCCTGCTCATGCTATCAAAAAACTCAACAAAAACAAATAAAGGAGTCAAAGAAACATGGCTTCGCTGCCTTTGCTTTTACTGATGCTTCATGAGCTGGATACTTGGTTGAGGATGTAATTAAACCAGCACAAGGCTGTGGATATACTTATGAAATCCAATTTCATAATCATATTCGTGAGCATATTTTATTTGTATGAGAAATTCTATAGTTGTTTCTTACAAGCTTTTAAGTGGAGGGTGGAGAACCACAAATTCCAAATCCTAAACATTGTACCTAAAATCCATCTAGATGATGACAAACTGTTTCTCATTTTTTTTAAATAGTTGGGTTATGGGTACATAGTTATACAGAAGGTAGAGCCTTCATAAATTATACAGGCTTGGGGAAGTCCTCACTGTGTTACGTGGCTTGTTGAAAATTGTTAATGTTTCAGTGATTTAGAGCAAGGGCTGAGGAACCAACCTGCTCTGCCACCAACTGGGCTATCTCCTCATACGTCTTTCCTGCTGCAGTCATGGCATCCGTCAGAGTCGACTCGCCTGCAACGAAAGAGGGGTTCAAAAAGGTTTGTCAGCAGCACTTGTGGCCTACCTAATTAAGTTGAATAAATAGTGATCTGCACCTTGGTATCCACTGCTGGTGAAGACAGAGGAGAGGTTTTGGAAGGCTTTTCCGATTCTCTGGTACTCTTTTGGCAGAGCTATGGAGGACAAGTTACCAAAATACTCAGCATTATGATTTTTTTTCAACCCAAACAGTAATTAAAACACAAAGTGAGGGAGTGGCCTATGTGCGTAATAAACACTTATTTAGCCTCAGAACACTGTGTACATACGTCCTGTGCATCTCTTCCAGTGCTCTTGTCCCACGGTGAGGATTTCCTTCACGCCGTCGTCCATGGCTTTGGTAAATCTGCTAAACTGCTCACATTTCTGGTCCCTGTGAATAAGGAACACTTGTTCATAGAACTTCCAACACCTACACAACCGCACACAAGTAACGTCACTGCTTTATGAGCAGAGGTTTTACATTTGGAGAGCTCAACTTACACTTCACTGAGATCCAGGTCTGCAGCTTCCGGCTCTATCGTGGAGAAGATCATCACTCCAACTGTCTCGTCTTTTTCTGCTTTTCTCTTCCCCATTTTCCAGTCCTACACAAATTAGTACACACAGCTAATGTAACTTCTCTAAAACCTTAACTATAACTAACAACAGACAATGACGGTTCAATCTAGAACATAATGTTGTCATGGACATGCATTTAAAAAAAATAAAATCCCAGGTATGCTATGTTAAGATCCACATCAAATCCCTTTGTACCTTCTCATCCTTGTATGTGAGGAAAAGCTGAAACACCTCGCTGTAGGATACAACAGGATGTCTGCACATCCTAGTCATCCAACCTTGCAACCGCTCCATCCGCATCTTAATAAACTCTTCCTCAAAGCGGCCTTTAACAGATGGAGGGGCAGAAGAAAAGGAACAGAAAAGAACAGTGGGTTTTATATTTAGGAGTGGTGCAAACTTTTTTTTTTTTTTTACCACCTAACCATGTGCAGGTGGTGTGAGAGTCAGCAGCTTACCTGTCACCTGCTTGTCTGGTAAGGAAGGGATAGGGATGGCTGACCCAAATTTGTCCAGGAGCCTCTCATAAAGCCAATCAAAATGCTTATATCTGTGATTGACAGTCCGATTTGTGGTCTTTTAACCCAAAAACAAAACAAAAAAACACATGGAGAGGGTTAATGGCATTCACATTAGTCAATAGAAGAGAAGGGATACATGAATCTTCTTATAGATCTGGGTTTGGCCACTGTCTACACCAGGCTTGGTATGTGCTCTACATTTGACAGTCTGAGAAAGCTCCTGCACGCTTACATTGGGTGTGATTTGGTACTCGATGTAGCTCTTTAGGCCGTACATCTTCGAGCCTTTCTTGGGATCAGCCACAACACAGTCCAGCTGGCTTTCTGGGTAATGCCACACTGGACCAACCTCTCCAATCTGATGATGAAACAATATTTTGGTTTAGCCTTACAGTACAGTTAGCCATACAAATTAAATGATGTTGTTAATCTGATCTGTGAAAGGCATAACACATGTAACCTACATAAATGGATAGCTTGTCTTTGCCTTTGGGTATCTGCTTGCATAGGAGGTAGAGCTCTGGACCAGACTTGGAGAACCCGGGAAACCTGCTCAAAGACGATGCACAATTTGATTGATGAGATTGAATTTCTTGTTCTTTTACAAAGTCTGAAAAAGTAGGTTTTGAAGTGCTGTGTGTAAGAACCATTTCCAAAGCTTTAAGCATCTACTGTCTCTTACTTGTTGAGGGATATTTTCATTGAAGAGCCATGTGCGCCACCTCTTTGCATTGCCCCACTGTCTCCAGCTTCAGATTCTGCATAACCGCCAGTGGACTTGACGTCATCCCATTCGTCATCCCACTCGTCATCCTCTGCTCCTGGGATAGGTTTCATGAGTTAGTAGTTTTAGATCACAGGAACAAGACAGAACTGCTCTACACATCTTCACAAGATGTTTGGTAATCCACTTTACTTTGTGTTAAGTAGATTACTAAAATCCTCAATAAGTGGAGTGAGTAAAGGAACTGTGTGAAAATGCATTAATCAAGGCTGGGAAAAGCAATGAGAAAAATAAACTCTGTCTTAAGTCTCTTCTATCAGATGAGCAGCATTCCATTTAAGCTCTACTCTCTTAGGTGAAAGTCCTCTCAACATCATTCATCTTCCTCGCCGAGACTTTGCTTCTCTCCAGTCCACCTCGCCTGATATTGTCTGACATGATCTGTAATTTGTTAGGTCTCCCATCACTGGTTACATTTTTGGAGCTGACGCACAGGGCCAAGGGGAGGAGCAGAAGTCTAGCTTATTCTCAGAAATCTTGAATTTCAACATGCTGAAAGGTTGCTGGATGGATGGATCGCCCATTGATGCAACAATAAATACCTATCCCAGTATTACTGCAAGGCCAAGCTTCATTATTTGGCTTCAGATCAAGATAATATATACAAGGTTCTTTTAACCTATTGATATATTTGCACTAGTCTAAGGCTCCAATTTGTTGTAAGGTGCAAATAAATCATTGTTTACATTCACTAATTCGGAGACTTAAATTTGTCCTTGGGTACATTTCTTTATATTAACAGTTAACATGCATTAAGGCAGGGCTTACAAAGGGCACAATTAGCTAAAGGTAATCAGCAGCCAAAAATCACAGATAATGAATTTTCTATTCACTCTTTATACAAAGTTGAGCAAGTCCAGCGAACTTGTCGGCGTATGATCCCTTAAAGGACAGAGGCTTTTTAACTGTGTCTTTGTTGCTGTCTGTATGACATGCTATTAAACAAAAATAAAAGAAAGCCACATGTGTTAATAAAGTGTTAATATCCAATAACACACACGTGCTTTAACAGAAAAATGACTCATAAGTACTGTGGTGGAAAGTTACACTCATCATTAGCATTTATTGCCAATCCACACAAAAATAAGGAAGCTTCCAACAAGTGATAAATCGGTACCTGCGTTATCAATTAGGTAAGGATATGGGTAGATGTCTTTGGCAAAAGAGAGAGAAAGAAAAAGTCTGTTATTCATTCTCCTTACAGTCCATCTCCTGTGTTCTTTTACAAAAGCAACTGGAGAATTGGAAGATCCAGGGCAAATAATTTGCCCCTCTGAGTCATGAATGAGGTTAACTTTTCCAGTCTGGCAAAAACAAAATAATGACTCGATGGTCCTGCTCACATGCTGGAGCATCTCAGTGGAGGAACTGTAGAACTAAAAAGGAGCAGATCTGAGGGAGAAAGTCTTTCCCCTAAAGAGAGGATGACCAAAATTGCCCAAATTCCATCTTACTAACTGGATTTTCCCAGTCCATCTCATTTGGTGTAAAGCTGAGCAGATAATAAAAAGTAGAATGTAAAAACATTCTTCACAGTATGTCCTAATTCTAAATTCTTACATCTCACATGAATAATGGCAAAAAAGACAAACAAACCCCAAAATCGTCATACTTCTGTTAATGAACACTCATTAGTCCCATTCTGGGACAGAAACTTTAAGGTTGGAAAACCAGCTCATGGTTCAAACATTTACACTGGATGTTTACCGAGAGGCTGAGAGCTGTGGAACGCAGCAAGCTCTTCCCTGAAAAAAAGCATCCCAACAAAGAGGCGACTGTGACCAAACCGAGTCAGGAGCCGCATAATCTACAGTACATGTGCTGCCCTGAGCGCCATTCAACACTGATTAAAAAAACACATTGATCTGTAAAATATTAAGTGTCCTCTAATTTAACATACCTAAGATCTTAAATAAAAAATGAGTCATTTATAAAAAGAAATAAAAGAACTGAACAATTACAGTTAGCTGATCATTATGGAAACAATGCCGGCATATACAAACACTCCTAAAGACCTCACACTTCACCATGTTTGACTTAAAGCTTAAGAGTTTTTTTCTGTTTATTTTTACCTGGGCCTTGGTAAGCCTGAGGGTGGCCCTGTGATACAGAGGCCCAGGGGTCAGCAGCAGTCTTCCCAGTCTGGGTGCCCTCTGGATTAGAAGCCCAATTGCTGTTGGAGCCCCCTGACGGGTCCGCGCCCCAGGCCGGCCAGGTATCGTTCCCATTACTAGCCTGCAAGAGACAGAGACACTGTCAGGGTTGAGAGCGAGGGCCGTAACGGGGCAGAGACAGGACAGAGACTCTGTTTGTTTAATAGGAAGCTGACAGCAGTCTTCAAACAACATGCTTTTCCGAGCATGTAACACAGGCCTGGCCTCCAACGGGGAATCTGTGACTGAACAGCAGCAGGGTGGTTTGTCAATGCTGCTCCACGGAAAAGCTACTAAAGTATCCGAAAGGCACATGCTTACACACAAACACTACTTTTAAAGTTATGGTTTTGTCACTTAAGAACTCAAAATAAAACTACATGCCATGCTTCTTATTTTGCAGGAACAGGCATGCAGACGAGAGTGTGTGTGTGTACATATGTGCATTTAGTGAGCCTAATGCTAGCCAACCATTTAGCCCCTGAGACTTCAAAGTGGATTGCTGCCATAACATAAACAAATTAACACCCTCAGTGAATGGAAGGTGCTTGGAAAACCCTGCCACGGTATTTTCTTTTATATGGAGTTTTTAATACATTCATTACATATGCACAAATGTAACAAATGGCAAAACAAAAAATCATTTACATTTAAAATCATTCAGAAAACGCGTATGTCGATGTCAAATGATTTATGGTCCTTATAGCCAATCATTCATCTTTTCACCGTGGTGCTGATTGAAATCATTCAGGGTGGGAGTCGATTGCTCTGATCTGTGAGTTGTGTATCTGCACAGGAGTGCAGGGTGAATGGAGTTGGTGAGATCATGCTTTCTGCAGGCAGTGGGAGAAGGAGGGGGACTTTGCCAAATGAGATGGTTCTGGGTTGAGAACAGTGAGGGCAAGAAGGTTTTGGTTCATGCCTCTGGTCTCACCCACCACCCTCAAGTGGCGATTACCTCATCAGGGGATGAAAGGAAGGGGGAAACTGGGGTGTCGGGGGTGTCTGGCTGGGGACTCAAAGCCCCAGCATCCACCTTGAGGGGTAAAAAAAAAAAAAGGTGACATCATCACAAAACGGCAGCTGTTCAGGTAAACACAGAGAAGGGTGGGGGGGGGTTAGGGTGACGTGCTTGTGTGTGTGTCTGTGCGTGTGTGAGCACAGTTGCGAGGTCACAGGATACAGCAGCTGACACATATCCTGCTTCCATTGAAAAACATACGGCACCTCTTTTTGTTTCTGCTGACCCAAAGATCTCGATAATGTAGAATTTCCTCCCTGCCCTACATATCTAAAATGTAAATCAGTTTTCAATGACGTGTCTGCTGAGAATATCTTCCACAGCAGCTGCTCTCACTTCTGCATCCGGTGCACACAGAGACTAAAACAAATCCTGCCACCATTCACTTCTGCTTTCTAACTTTTCTTTGTTGCCGACGTGCTCTGCACACATTTCTTAGAAGAAGAGTGGAAATACGACAGCAGACAGCCTGACAGCTGATGCTTTGGTGTTTTCTTAGCTTTTTTGCCCCCCCCTGGGGGTTTTCCGGCGTGCACTGCATCACCGGTTGGTTGCATTACCTGGTGCGGTGCGGATGCTGATGCAGGTGCAAATGCATCGAAGAAAGACAAGTCTGAGGCCGCAACATTTCCCACACTTGGAGTAGTTACTGTGGTTCCTGCTCCTTGGAACACAGGGAACGACTTATTGAGCTGTAAATTAAATAACAAAAGAATGACATATTCCAGTTAGGCAAAGAGATCCAGATATTCCACTCCAACTGAAAGATTTCCAAAGGTATAATCCCTTTTAGTAATGTGACCATCACATCAGCAGTCCTCTTCCACTGAGACACTTTAATATCCTCAATAAAATTCAGTTGTTTGACAGTTTTTAGACTGAGAGAGAGAGTAGCAGAATGAGAAACTGTGCTCGTGTGTTTCTGTCAAACGTCTGTGATTGTTTTCGATCTGAACACAGAATCTAAACAGTCTGGAAGCAGTTGGTAAAGTTACTTAAGGACAGGAAAACCACACTGATTCACATGAGCCTGCTTGCAAACAAGCTGAATTAATCTATGTCTCATGTCTACCCAAAGAGACCACATTATTAGATGCTGCAGAAAGTGTTTAAAGCAAATCTAAATTCTTAATCAGACTCTTTCTCTGCCTCTTCCTGAATGTTTTTAGAGTGAATCATATCCACATAATGAAGTCAGAGTTACTGGATCAAGCTGGACTCACACTCACATGCACATTCAAACACTCTAATCAGCAGATCCCTAAAGGAGGCACATCCTGTTATGATAGTAGTTTAAGAGACAGCACCACAGTGTGTAGACGTATCCCTTCTTTGATAATGTTCCCCAAACACCATCACCATCTAAACCTTCAAACTTACCTCAATGTAATCTTCAGGCACCAGTCCAACCTCCCCTCGGGAGTTCTGTGCTTCAATCCACCCGCCTCCAATACTCTGAAATAATGTGACAGACAGCAAAATATTAGCATGAGCGGCCTGGGCCGGCAGAGTACTGGTGAGTCCTGCATTTTGCTTTGTATGAGGGGAATATGAAAACAAACCCAGAAACCGCTCAATGAACCTAGAGTACACAAAACTGAAGTGTTTGTGTTAAGGAATCAAGTAATGGCCAGGTTTAACAACTACCAGGGAGACGTCCTCCCCAGACTGTTTATCTGGCTAAAGGAATAGTGCTGTTTTCCTGATACACAAAGTCCTAACAGACTTAGATTAGCAAAGTATGTAGGTCAGAACACAGTCAGTGATCTTTGAACTGTTGGCAACGGACAGTTATGACATCATGTTTGCTGAGTTTTTCCGCCTTTTTGTCCTTTAGTAGAACATATTTACGACACCCACAGCTGCAGTTCAGTGTGAGATCGTGACTTTTATAGGACTGTTCATTTATATAATAATGCTACAGGCAGAGCTTCTTAATCATTTCATTACATGCTGTAATAGGCTGGGTTTTAGTGGATATTCTGAGGCATAAGTTTATTAGTTAAATTGACAACAATGTGGTGTATATCAATTCCAAATGATCACAAATTGAAAGTCAAAGTTTTTATGCTCATACATAAAGCATATACATACATAAAAAACTAATATTAACGAGTAAAAACAGTTATTTATAGCAGGTCATTTATTTAACGCGGTTTTCTGTAGTTTTAACATGTGGGAGAATCTGAAATTGTGCACTTTATTAAAGAGAAAACACAAAGTCAATGTATCATTTACCTGATTGGTGACAGTAATTGTCTCGCCTTCTTTCACCGTCAACTCATTGTTTCCAGGCTCAGCAGTGAAGTCATATAAAACCTGTGCCTGGGGACGATCAAGGAAAGGCTTACTGGCTGATTAATGGACAATGTTATGTGCAAACACACACACACACGACGTCACAGTCAATAAACACCGGTGGCAAACTGAGAAATAAGGGCAGAGTGAAACAGGCCAAACTAGTTCTTCAGAACTTGTGCTAACACTTGATGATCTTCCAAAACTAACTTTTTTCCAAGCCTGAAAAACTCAATCAAAACAAGGCCAGAACCCCAAACTGATTCAGCTGTATTTTCTGACCTACATCAGTTAATCTGTCCCCTCCCCACAGGAGCTCACACACAGATTCATTCAGCAGTGCGTGGAAGCAGAGTGAGGAATATTCCAATGTGGTGTGAGCAACTTAAACAGTATCAAAACCACTAATGTGTTCATAAGTCGCAGAGCTGTAACACAGCAGGTGTTACTTTATTCACCATGACAGTTCAAAGTGACACGTTTTAAGCGTGACACCAAAATGAAAAGCTTCCACACTCCACTGGTGAGAAAAATCAACAAAAATAAATGTTTACACAGCACAGTTTTTTAACATCTCAACACCAATTGTTATTCAAGTTTGAGGTGTGCTTTGTCTTGAACTTCCAGCTCATTAGCTAAAAATAATAATTGTTGCGAGAGCTCTGAACAATGCGTTTATTAAACTTAGTTTTTTTTGTGGAAAGAATCTAAAGATAAGCAGCTTTCAATTTCTATTTATATCAATAAAATGACACATTATTAAACTCGACAACAATTGATCTGGTCTGCAGCTTTTACCGTACCACTTTATAGAGAACGTTTGTACTATAGAACTGTCTGCATCAGTTTCAGACTCAGTTTCAAAATATGTCCAGTCAATTATTAATACATTAATACACCTGCAACAATTTACTGGTTAGTAAGACGTTTATCAAAAATTGCCAGGCTCTGAATAAGCCCAGATCTTGTTGGAACTTACACAGTTAAACGGCTGAAATCAGGCAAGCAGATGTTCTTAGATGTTTACCAGATGTTCTGACAGTCAAACATCCAGACACAAATAAATGGGTGAATGTGGCATGGCAGTGGCTTATTGTTAGTCTCTGAGGAAAATTTCCCATTCATAAGTGATATGCTCACATTTAAAAAACTTTTAGGACACTCTTTTCAATCCGACTTTTGATCCAAGCAGGACTAGACACCTTTGGTTTATCCACTGTCTCTATTTCAGTTCAACATATGGTAAATGCATTGATGAGATTATTATGATATCAATATGAAGTGAGGAGTTCTGCTTAATAACATTTCCTTTGGGGTAGCTCAAGCATATTTCATTTCTTATTACTTTACTTCTACATAGTTTTTAAAACAGCTCGGTTTTTATTCCTCTGAACCTAAAGACTACATTTCCCAGAGTTCCTCCGGATGACCCGCACTGGGGAGGTAGTAAAATGTCACAAGACACTTTCTTAATGAGGCACATTTTCCATGTATACCTAAAAAAACAATGGTCTCGCATCTAAAGCACACCTGGGTGCTGTAACCCCCACCCTATGACACGTTTCTGGCAACAGACGGCTTCGTTTTGTGTAGCTGTTCGTGTGTAGCTTGTCGAGTTCAGCGTAAAACTGATAAACTACAAGTGAGTCCGCTGTTCGCGCTATAAGTAAAAACAACTGTCAGCGGAAAAAACAAGCGGCAGCAAAGCCCGTTTGTCGTTTCAACAGAGCCCAGGAAAGTTGAGAGGCCTACCTTAAACGCCATTGTGGCAGCATTGATCAATCATTACAAAAAAAAGAGGCCCGGTAGTATTCAAGATCTCCCGTCCTCAGCTGGACATTTCTCTCCCCCCAAGTTGCTCTTCAACTGCTGGCGAAGAAAACACGACAACTCCTCCCGCTGGAAAGCCGCCCCGACGCACTCATGAATCCACTATTAAAATCTCTCGATCGTTTTAAAAACTCCGAAAAGAGCAACGAAAAAGGAAAAAAGATAAGCGGGAAGAAAAAACCAGAACGCAGCTACTGCCAAGTTTGGAGCGAGAGCTGCTGACAGCAGTGAGGAGGGAGTGACCTGAGGCAGAAACCGAGAGAAACCGGAAAGGTAGCTCCACTCTCCCACGGAGAATAGAGAGCCCCAAATGCAACATGATCCACCAATA